TCCGCTCCAAGGTCATGAGGATTTTCTCCTTATTTCTTCTAGAAGTTTTATAGTATGTGTGTGTATCTCAATATCATATATAAATTGACCTATGATCTAATTTCAGGTTAATTTTGTGTGTGACATATGGGTAAGGGTCAAGGTTCATTTTTTTCATACAAATAATAAATAGTATTTATTGAAAATATTGTTCATTCCCCATTTAGTAACCATGACATCTGTGTAGAAAATGAATAGACTATGTGTGAGTCTATTTCTGGACTCTATTCTTTACATTGATCTATATGTTTGATATAATTCATAGGTAAAACCATGTGGACTGGAGCTTCCTTTTTGGGATGGTTTTAATTACCAGTTCAATTTATTTAGTGGCTACACATCTATTCTGATTTTCTGTTCCTTTTTGAGCCAGCTTAGGTCATTTCCATTTTTCAAGAAATTTGTTTACTTCATTTAAGTGGTTGTCTATAATATTCCTTTATGATATTTATAATGCCTGTATGATCTGTAATAATACCCCTTGTAAGTCCTGATGCTGATAATTATCTCTTTTCTTGTTTAATCAATCCTACATTAACTTATTTACAAATCTCAAGTGTAATGCATTTTCCACTCCTACTTTTGGAGAGGTCAGTTCCCTTACCCACTTTCAGAGATAATTATTAAACAGTTGGTTTTCTTTCCTTAATTTTCTAACACCCCTTCCAACATCCCCAGTCTTAGCTCTTGACTTTGCTCCCTATTTCATGGAGAAAACATAATCAAAAGATGACTTCGGCAGGGTGCGGTGGCTCATGCCTGTAATCCTAGCACTGTGGGAGGCCGAGGCGGGCTGATTGCTCGAGGTCAGGAGTTTGAAACCAGCCTGAGCAAGAGTGAGACCCCATCTCTACTATAAATAGAAAGAAATTAATTGGCCAACTAATATATATATAGAAAAAATTAGCCGGGCATGGTGGAGCATGCCTGTAGTCCCAGCTACTGGGGAGGCTGAGGCAGTAGTATCGCTTGAGCCCAGGAGTTTGAGGTTGCTGTGAGCTAGGCTGACGCCACGACACTCACTCTAGCCTGGGCAATAAAGCGAGACTCTGTCTCAAAAAAAAAGGATCATCATCCTGTCACTAAATCATCAAACATCTCTGCCTTTATACTCATATATGCCACATTCCCCCCTCATTACAATGGATTTCTACCTCTGCTGTCCAAAGCTGATCCCTTCACTTACGCACTGGATCCCATACACTCTCTCCTCCTCAAGGACTTTGCACCTAAAATTATCCTGTCTTTCTCTAACAAAATCAAATTTCTCAGATTATTCTCATTCGCACACAGACATGGCACAGAATCTCATATATATGTATATATTAAACTCTTTTGATCTCGTATCAATTTCCAGCCCTATATCCTTGCTCCCCTTTATAGTGAAGCTTCTCAGAATAGTTGTACTCAATGTCTCTATTTCTCATTTGTCATTCTTTCCTGAAACTACTCCAGTTAGGCTTCCATCTCTACTCTGCTATGAAATTATTCTTAACTAAGGTCACCAGTGATCTGTATTGTAATTCTAGTGGTCAGTTATTATTCCTCATATTTATTTATATCAAAGCAATATTTGACAAAATTGATTACTTCCTCCTTGAAACATTATTTGTTTGGCTTTGGGAGTACCACACTCATGATTTTCTTCCTCAGTTTCCTGGCCTTACATGTTCAAGTGCCCAAGACTCAATCTTTGGCTTTCCTCTCTGTCTACATCCAGGCCTTATGTGATCTCATTCACTTCCAAGCCTTTACATACCATCTATATGTTCATTGCCTCCATGTTTTTATTTCTTGCTCTTACCTCTTTATGTCCACTTGTATTAAATTTCACATGCCCTAAAGAAAGCTCTTGCTTCTTTGACCTCAGCAAACCTGCTTCTCTTCCTTCTCCTCTCAGTAAAAGACATCATCCAGTTGTTTAGTACAAAATTCAAGAGTCATATTGATCTTTCTCTTTCCGTACATTTACATACAGCCCTTCAATAAGACCTGTTAATTCTGTCTTCAAAATACATAGAATTAACCACTTCTCAAAATGTTCATTACTTTTGCACAAGCCACTGTCTTTCACTTGTACTCTTCCAATAACCTCCTAGATTGGTAATACCACAGTAGCCTGAGGAATGTTTATAAAACTTAGATCACCACACCCACCCACCCACCCACCCTGCTTAAAACCCTTCAGAGGCTTCCCATGTTACTCAGAAGAAGATGCAAATTTGTAAGTATGGCTTACGAGGGCCACTGGAGTTCGCCCTGCCCGTTTACCCTATCTCAAGACTTAACTGTGCCTGTGCCACTCAGCTGAAATCACATTGACCTTCTAGGTGATTTTTGAATATGTTCAGTTGATTCCTGCCTCAGGGTCTTTGTCTTCATTGTTCCTACTATCTGGAATTCTTTCCCCAAGATGTTCACATGAATCATTCCCTGGCTTCCTTTGGAAGCCTTCCCCTGACTACAACTGTGCCCTTCCCTCATTGCTCTGCCCCTTCACCCTTCTTTATTTTTCTTGACAGCTCTTATCACTGCCAGATATTACATATGTGTATGTATGTGTTTCTTATGTGTCTCTGTCTCTTCCTCTAGAATAGAAGCTTCATTAGAGGAGGAACTTTGGTTAATTTCCATGTACCCATCATACAGAATAGTACCTGGCACATAGTGATCAATAAATGTGTTGAATAAATGAATGAACTCTATTAGATATAGATATATTACTTCCAATTTCAGATATGGAAACAGAATCTACCACAGCTGGCAGGTTTTCTTACTCTAAGTCTATTCTTTTTCTACCATAGTCACTTGTTTCTGGAACCTTATCTGATCATTTATTTATCCTCATCTGAATTACTATGGCATCTTGTGTTCCTCTTACACCATTTACTAAATTTTGTCTTGTGCTCTGGCTGATACATGCCTCTCTTTTTTCTTGCTTATAGTAGTTGAGTTTTAATGTTAAATTTGATTTTCTTTAGCTTTCTTATAAAATCCAGAGCTTGAGATTTTTCTTAAAATTTTTATCTAGTAGCATGTAAACTGCTTACATTTTTTGATAACAATAGATTTATTTTATTGACTTTATTTTCAGGATGTCAGCTGTCTCATAACAATATTGGTATTTTGTCTGTGCTTTGTAAAAGGTACTTGAGTATGATTGGGAACAGCAATGTTTTCAAGTTTTTGATAAGAACGTTTTCCCTTAGTGGATTTACTTTCCTACTCTACTCTTCTCCTGGCTATCTTTTTTTTTTTCCCACACCTCCCAAGAAGAGGGTTGTATTGATTCAGGGATGGAGGACATTGTATGATGAAGGATGGCTTTCATTTTTCTGTGAAGTAGGCTACAAAGTCACCAGCAGGCCAAGAGAAGGGTAAAGATTCATTTCCACATTTTAATGAGAGGAGGCTGAAATAAGGCAATAAGAACTGTGGACTTTGCAGCCAATGAGAATCTTTGCCTTTTCTATGTGAGCAGTGAGATAAATCAGGCTAGCTCTTCGTGTAGCTACCACCCACAAAGCTGTGAAGAAGGCTGTGATAGCAGATGGTATCCATACACAGTTTGATTTGTTTAGAAACCTACATAAAGAGCAGCATGTGTTATGTTTTGTTTTCCCCTTAATTACTCAGAGCCAGGGAGACCAGTTTTCAAATAAAACAGTGATACAGCCAGGGAAAAATTATAAAACAAGAATACAGACAACTATAGTTTTAACTGCACCATTTCAATTTTACAATATCTGCTTTGTTTAAGGCTCTGGACTAGGCCTTACATTGTAGGGGATCCAAACAAGAATGGGTTAAGTATTACAAAATGAATTTAGTTTAATAAGCATGTCATTAGTGCCTTTTATATACCACTGAAGTGCTGAGAATACAGAAATTAAGACTGCACCAATCTTCAAGGAGCTTATACCATAGTGGGGGAAAAAAAGTTAATAGATAGTTTCAGTACCACATGGCAGGTACTATGAAAAATGTGTGCCTGGTGCTATAGAAGACCTGAAGGAAAGGGGATTTAATACCTGGTATTAAGTGAGGATTAGAGAGGAAAGCTTCCTGGAGAAGGTAAAGCCCTAGGGTACAACCCTCGCTGAGTCTTAAAAGATGAGTAGGTTTAAGGTAGATAAAATTGAGGAGTTGGGAGGGATCAGGGCAGGAGGAAGAACATGAGCAAAGACTCAGCAGCAAGAAACACCATGGCTGTTTGGGAAAGATCAAGTAGCACTGATGTTACTGAAAATAACATCTATGAAAGGAGATGAGACTGGCTAAGGGTCCCAGATTAGAGTGGGGTCTAGAGTTTATCCTGTATGTTCGTTTCTTCAGATGTTGGCTTGTTGACTCTCTGCAACAGAATATCCTAGAATATTCACAGAAATATAAGTCTAAACCCCACCCCAGGATGTGGAAAATAGTCTGTAATGTTATTTCTGCTTAGAATTTGATTTTCCTATAGGGTTATAGTTTCTTAAATGATATACTTTGTCAGGTCTACACAAAAACAGTATTTATAAGAGAATTTGTGTCTTACATTGGTCTTTGGGGAGATTCCCAAAGGAATAACTATGGTTATAAAGAGTTACCTATAAAATAAATACAGAGGACAAGTATACTATGTCTTGGGTTCAAACAAAAAGTAATTTGAAAGCCTTGTTCATGACTACATTTTTTTTTTAGCATATGTTCACATTTTTCTAATTCCATTTGGGACAAGAATTTCTTGAGACCTCTATCACTTAGTGCTCAGCCTCTAGCACGCGCACGTGTGTGTGTGTGTGTGTGTGTGTGTGAGCGAGAGAGAGAGAGAGACACACACACAGAGAGTGAGAGACAGACAGAGAAATTGTGTATAAAATTTGGGAGGAAGCCATAAATATGGATATGGAAAATGTTGCAAAATAATAAAAGGGGGATATATTTATAAAGGTTCCATATCTTTTTTTACTATACAGGAATTGGAAAATAAAAAAAGAATACAAAAACAGGCTGCAAGCAGTCAAAGCGCCACAGAGGTTCGCTTGAATAGAGCTCTAGAAGAAGCAGACAAGTATAAACTGGAGTTAAGTAAATTAAGGCAAGATAATAAGGTATGAAAAAACCTAATAGCTTTATTAGTGATTACCTTTGGTATCCTCCTATTTTATGAAAATGTCAAAAATAATAGTTCTAAAATTATAATTCTTGATGTTATAATGAACATTTCTTTTTTCAGAAGAAATATATCAATATGTACATTTTCAACATGTTAGGATTATATGCTTGGTTGTTGCCATAATTGGTTGACAGCACAAGTCTTTGGAAGCTTCATTTATTTCTTCATCTATCAAATTTTATTGGGTAACCATATTATATGCCAGACATTTTTCTAAGCTCTGAGAAATAAGCAGTAGAATAAAAAGTATCTTCTGTATCTCAAGTCTTTTATATTCTCTGAACCTCAAATTTCTAATATATAAAGCGAGGGGCTGTTTTACAGGGCAGTTGTTCTCAAACTTGAGTATGTATCAGAATTACCTGGAGGGTTTGTTAAAACATAGATTAGCTGGTCCCACCCCCAGAGTTTCTGATTCAGTAGGTCTGAGGTGAGGCCTGAGAAGTTGCAGTTTTAACAAGTTCCCAGGTGATTCTGATGCTACTGGTTCTGAAGCCACATTTTGATAACCACTGTTACAGATTACCATGATGATCACCATCGTATCTCCAGTGTCTAGCTAATGCTTGGCATAGAGTTAGCATTTGATTCCTTAACTATCTGTTGAATAAATGAAGGCTCAAATACTGATGTGTGTGAAAGCTCTTTGTATATTCTATAAATACTGCCTCTTAGGTTTTGGTACTGTGTTTACCTGAAAAGGCAATAAATGATACTCCATTGGAATCTCTCCCTTAGGACAATATTTAATAATTTAACATTGACTTGGTTATGAAATTAGGAACCACCTTCGTTATATACACAGATAATACATTTTGGATTAAGTTAGTGACAATAGGAACAGAACAAAACTGACCTTGATAAAAGTCTCCTCCAACATGTTTAACAGAGGCAAAAATGTGACATAGTTGACTACAGAGTTTTAAAAATGTCATATGTGAGATAGTTTATGCAATATGCTCAGGTTATTTTTCATGTTCAAGGGCCATGAATGATGGCACTACTGGAATTTACTACTAGAAGTTATTAAATGAACAAGTTAGAAATTCATCTTTACAGACTTACCAATAATTAGCATGTTACTAGAGTATTCCAATTTGGTGCATTTTAAAGAGATTTTAGAAAAAAAGGAAAAGTAACCACCTATGTATCAGGATTTCCTGATTCTGGTTGTAGATTTGACCTTTATATTTAGCATGTATTTCAGGAAAGTAGTAAGAAAAATTGGTTTCCATGACAAAAGATGACTCTCCTTATTCTAGCCAGCCATTTTGAAAATTCAAGTAATGAGTACTTAGTGTGTAAACAACTGTGTAAAACCACAACACCATATAAACAACTTAGATGTGTTCAAATACTTCTGACCATAGCTCTGCATTATGGGTGATTGATTTAAACTGAATATCTTAAGCTTTTGATTTGTCAATTATTTTGCCTATTTCTAAGTTTTATATTTGAGGGATGTTTTGGGATATGCAATAACGTCCTTGGGGTCCAATCTGTGCATAAGTTTTCTTTTGTGAGCAGGTGTATTTTTTCTATTTCAAGTCTTTGTACTTTGCTTCTCATTCTGATCAGACATATAGTTAATAGGCAATTAAAGTTATTCAGGTATATATGTTTAAGAAAATATGACAGGGAAGTAGTAAGGTTTCTATAAAATAGGACAAGATTACTTCATATTCATCAGAAAGTTAAAGATCTATTTTAAAAATGGCAAACTTATTTCCACAGATATTAGGAAATAAGTCATTTGGCTTAAAAAGTAAGAATAACTTTTGAAATGAAAAGTCAGTCAACTTAAACTCAATGCTGTTTGAGTGCCTGGATCCTAACTGTCTCATTCACTATTATTTCTCGGTTTATAGTAATTGCCTCTGAAACACATTGAAGGAAGGAACTATGAAAGTGATGGTTTAACTGGAATTCTACATAAAAACAAAGTACTTGATTAGATGTTTGCTTGAAATCCATTTAAAATATGACACCAGCCGGGCGCGGTGGCTCACGCCTGTAATCCTAGCTCTCTGGGAGGCTGAGGCGGGCGGATTGCTCAAGGTCAGGAGTTCAAAACCAGCCTGAGCAAGAGCAAGACCCCGTCTCTACTATAAATAGAAAGAAATTAATTGGCCAACTGATATATATATTAAAAAAATTAGCCGGGCATGGTGGCACATGCCTGTAGTCCCAGCTACTCGGGAGGCTGAGGCAGTAGGATCGCTTGAGCCCAGGAGTTTGAGGTTGCTGTGAGCTAGACTGACGCCACGGCACTCACTCTAGCCTGGACAACAAAGCAAGACTCTGTCTCAAAAAAAAAAAAAAAAAAAATGACACCAAAGTCCATGTTACTTCATTAAGAATGGATAATTTCTAATTCTTCATTAATTGATTTAGAAATATTTATGAGGGCCTGCTAGGTACCTGCAGGCTAGAGAGATACAAAAGTAATTTAAAAATAGGTGTCCCTGCAGTCATGCACCTTATGTTGGAGTGGAGAAACTAGATGTTAAATAATCCATTAAGCAAAACCAAGATAATTTAGATAATTATCTAATTTAGATAATACATCAAGCAAAACTAAGGTACAATTGTGTTAAATGCTGTGGAGGATACATGGTGCTTTGAGTAAGTAACCAAATGTAATGCTAAGATCTGCATAATATATAGGAGTTATGCCAACTGGCTCTTTAGGCCATGGTTAAGGATTTTAGATTTATCCAAAAAGCAATGCAAATCCACTGTACAGTTTTTCTCTGTAGAAAATCAACTTGAAGGTGGCCAGAATGGATATGGATAAGAGTGGTTAAGAGTAACAGTGTAAGACAGAGATGATATAGCTTGGACTAAAGTATAGGGGTAGAAATGGAAAGAAACCAAGTATCAAAAAATACATTAGGAGGGCTTAGTGATGGACTGGATATGGGTTTGTGGGAAAGGGAAGCCTAAGGGAGGATTTTTTTTTTTTTACCTCTAGTTTTTATAACTAGATAAATACTGCTATTTGCTGAAATAAACACTGGAGTACGTTTGGGGAGAAAATTAAGAGTTGTTCTATAACATGTTACATTTGAAGTTACTCTGAGAAATCTTAGAGAAGTCTGCACAGAGATAGGAAGACAGGGTAGGCGAAAGGAAGGGTGAAGCAAGGGCCTAGAAATGAGCTGTGAAAAATTCTAGTACTTCAGAAGGAGGAGTGGTCAGTAGTGTTGAATACTGCTGAGAGGTCAAATTCTATGAAAACTGATAAAATTTGCTGGATTTAACAACACAGAAGTGACTTTAGACATGTTTTGGTAAGAGTGAAAGGAAAGAAGCTAAGTTCAAGGGGGACGAAAAATGAATGCAGATGAGCAAAAAGAGACAGTGAATATCTGTGATTCTTTCAAGATGCTTAGCTCAAGGGTAAAGCTGAAGGGACATAAAGAGTTGAGTGAGGGCCGGGCACTGTGGCTCATGTCTGTAATCCCAGCACTTTGGGAGACCAAGGTGAGAGGGTCGCTTGAACCCAGCCTGGCCAACATAGTGAGATGCTGTCTCCACAAGAAAACCTTTTTTAAAAGTAGCTGGGTGTGGTGGAACACACCTATAGTCCCAGCTACTCAGAAGCCTAAGGCAGGAAGATCGCTTGAGCCCAGGAGTTCAAGGTTTACAGTGAGCTATGATCATAGCACTGCACTCCAGCTTGGGTGACAGAGTAAGACCCTGTCTCTGGGGGAAAAAAAAGTTGGGGGAATTAAATGAGTCAATTTATATAGAATAGATTATACATGTATAGTTCAATGAGTTTTGGCTCTTATCTATGTAACACCGCTTTAATCAATATATAAGTTGGCCCTTTATATCCATGGGTTTTCATCTGCTGATTCAACCAACTGAGGATTGAACATATTTGGCAGGCAGGGGGGAGAAAAAAACACACAAAAAAGAAAATAACAATGCAACAATAAAAAATACAAATAAATACAGCATAAGAACTATTTGCATAGCATTTACATTGTATCAGGTATTGTAAGTAATCTAGAGATGATTTAAAGTATACAGGAAGATATGTGTGAGTCATATGCAAATACTATGTCATTTTATATAAAGTAGCATCTGCAGATTTTGGTATGGGGGCAAAGGGAATCCTGGAAACGATTTCCCATGGATACCCAGGGATGACTATAGAATATTTTCATTACCCCCAGAAAGTTCCATCATATCCCTTTCTAGGCCCCTCTGAGTCCAGTTCTGATTTCCTTGGACTTGAATTTCATATAAATGGAATCACAGAGCACCTACTCTTCTTTGTGTAGCTTCTTTCACTCAGCATAATGTTGAGATTCATCCATATTGTGATTTTTTTTTTCTTGATCAGTCTTGCTAGTGAGTTGTCAATATTTTTAAGAAACTTTTGGTTTTGTTTTCTCTATTCTGTTTTTTATTTCACTGAATTCTCCCTATTGTATCTTTTTGTCTACTTGCTTTGGTTTTAATTTGCTCTTCTATTTCTAGCTTCTGAAGTTGAAGGTTTAGATTGTTATTTTAAACACTTCTTTCCCCGATTACATTAAAGCTACAATTTCCCTTGAAGTGATGTTCTACAATTTTTTTATTCACCTATCTTTAAGTATATATTTTTCTACTTTTATTTTTCCATTTATTGGGATATAATTGGCCTACAATAAACCTGCACATATTTAGTTTAAAATTGGATGAGTTTTAATTACATATTTACCTGTGAAATAATCACCACAATGAAGATAATATATCTGTTATCCCCAAAAGTTTCCTCATGTCCCTTTTATAATCTGTGCCTTTTTGTCCTAGCCTGAGGCAACTCATTTGCTTTTTCTAGAATTTTGTATTCTTTTCTTAAATGTCCCTTCTTTCACTCAGTACAGTTATTGTGAGATTCATCCGTGTTGCATGTAACAATAGTTCATTTTTAAAAATTTTACCTATGATATAAACATACCAAAATTTGTCCATCCATTCACCTGTTGATGGACATTGGGGTTGCGTCTAGGTTTGGGCTATTTTGAATAAAGCTGCCATGAACATTCATGTATAAGTCTTTGTGTGGACATATGCTTTCTTTTTTCATGGGTACTTAGGAATCTTTCAAAGAATCTGCCCGTTTCATCTGTGTTGTCAAGTTTATCAGCATATACTATTTCCTTATTGTCCTTTGAATATTCCTCCTATATTCTTGAGTTTTCCCCCACTTCCTCATTTTTGTATTGGTAATTTGTGTCTTTTCCTGATCAGTCTTTATCAGTTTACTAATTCTAAATTAGTCTGATTTCACTGATGTATGGTTTTTAATTTCTCTTTTACTGATTTCTGCTCTTTGTTCTTTCTCTCTCTTTACTTTGGGTTCTTTTTCTAATTTCTTAAAATGAAAGTACATTGTTGATGATTTGAAACCTTTTTTTCTAATATAAGCATTTAACACTGTAAATTTTCCTCTTTGAATTCCTTCAGCTACTTATCACAAATTTTGATTTTTTTGTGTTTTCATTTTCATTCCACTCAAAATATTTTCTTTTCTTTTTGATTTCTTATTTGACCTACAGGTTATTTAGAAGTTTGTCATTTCATTTTCAAGTATTTGGGGATTTTCCCAGATACCGTTCCTATTGATTTCATTTAATTCTATCACAGAGAATCTGTGAATTGTATCTAAATTTATGAATACTTATTTTATGGTCCAGAATATGGTTTAAATTGGTGAATGTTGCACATGCCCTCGAAAAGAATGTGTATTCTCCATTTGTTGGGTGGAGTATTCTATAAATTTGAATTATGTCAAGTTGCTTGCTAGTGATGTTCTAGACTTCTGTATCCTTACATATTTTCTGTTTACTTGTTCTATCAATGATTAAGAGAGGGGTACTGAACTCTGAAGAGAATTGTGGGTTTATCTATTCCCCTTACAGTTTTATTAATTGTTGCATCATGTATTTTGAAACTCTGTTATTAACATTCAGGATTGTTATGTTCTCTTGATGAACTGAGCCCTTTATTATGATGGCTATTTTTATTCCTGGTAATAGTTTGTGTTCTGATACAGGATGAGTATTCCTTATCCAAAATTCTTAGGACCAGATTTTGGGATATTTACATTATACTTTCTGGTTGAGCATCCCTAATCTGAAAATCTAAAACCTGAAATGCTCCATTGAGCAAATTTCATCTTTGGCTGGCATTCAAAAAGTTTCAGATTTTGGACTAGGAATACCCAAACCTGCATTACCTTGTTTGGTATTTAAGCAACTTAAGGTTTATTTAAAGTAGTTTTAGACCATGCCATTTCCTATCACTTTGAGTGTTTTTTTTTTCTTAGGTGTTCCTTTGGTTGCTTCTGCAGCCTATGTGGTTTCTAGAGTTCTCACAAAGCTACTTTGGTCTGCATATTGTATATGTGATATTTTAGTGAGGGAGCAAGGGCCTGGAAGCTTCTTAATCTCTCATCTTACTGACATTACTGTCTCTTTCAAAGAGATTTTTAAAAAAGAATTCTAGGCCGGGCGCGGTGGCTCACGCCTGTAATCCTAGCACTCTGGGAGGCCGAGGCGGGCGGATTGCTCGAGGTCGGGAGTTCGAAACCAGCCTGAGCGAGACCCCGTCTCTACTAAAAATAGAAAGAAATTAATTGACCAACTAAAAGTATATATACAAAAAATTAGCCGGGCATGGTGGTGCATGCCTGTAGTCCCAGCTACTCGGGAGGTTGAGGCAGGAGGATCGCTCCTTGAGCCCAGGAGTTTGAGGTTGCTGTGAGCTAGGCTGACGCCACGGCACTCACTCTAGCCTGGGCAACAAAAGTGAGACTCTGTCTCAAAAAAAAAAAAAAAAAAAAGAATTCTATATTTGTGTCTACATAGATTCAGCTTGCTTTCTGGAATCATTTTCTTTTTGTATGAAAGATTTTGTAACATTTCAAGTATGGATCTCTCTGTACTTTATAACTTCTACTGACCTGCCTTAAAGTTTCTGAGTTGTCCAAATTGCTGCAGAGGTTATCTAGGAAACTTTAACCAAGATTACAAACTTTGTCTCCCTTGTCATGGGAAGTGGATGAATTCTCTGCTCAGCAATTTAGACCATAGCCATTCCCTTTAACCGGTTCCTAGGCATCTCACTGCATAAATGGTACTTAGGTATCTGTCAAGGATTTGAGGGGAAGTATGTATGCATATTTTGAGCGCTCTCTTTTTCTAAGACATCCTACCTGAAAATTTGTACCACCTTGGCAACCCTGCTCTCTCACTCCTCAGCTCAATAAGACTACTACTTTTGCTTAAGTTGTATCCCCTGTGATCCCATGAACTAGAAAGTGCTCTCAGGAGAAGCTAGTTGCATGTGGATCTCAACTAGTATGCGCCTCTGTTCTTTCAAGGATCATATCACTTTCAGTTTCTGCTAACTATTATTTATGCCTTCAAATATATTTTTTAAATTATATCCAGAGTAAATATTTGTTATTGTCAGAGAATTGGTCCAATATAAGCTACTTTGCAATTACTGGAATTATAAGTCATTTTTCTTGAACAATTTTTTAAATGCGGGAGACCGGAGCAATTTAGTAATGTAAAGGAATTTTTACCTACAAAAATTTTAAATTTCAGTTTAAAAAACAGTAGTTTTTATAATTCCTTCCATATATTCTTTAATATGCACTCTTTTAATAGAATTTTTTCCTTTTATAGGATATAGCAAATGAAGAACATAAAAAAATTGAAGTGTTAAAATCAGAAAACAAGAAACTAGAAAAACAAAAAGGAGAATTAATGATAGGATTCAAGAAACAATTAAAATTAATTGATGTTTTAAAAAAGCAGAAGGTGAGTCTACCCTTTAAAGTAAATCATAGATGTATTTTTATTTTAGGTAAGTTTAATTTTATTGTGACATCCTTAGACACAAAACTTTATATAAAATGCATCATACATATGAAATTTAACATATATAATGTGTTATCATATATAATGTGTTATCTAAGGAAGTAGATATTTTCACCTTAGTAAATTAGTGTGGAAAATGGGACTAGGAAATAGGGTATGGGTACTTTCCGACTACAGAAAGCACTGTATACTTGTATGACTATTATGACTATTATCTTAGAGGATTGTTTGCCTCAGAGTGAACATGGATACCAAACCACTATTGTTCCTTTCTCTAAATATGGGTATAACAGAACTTACATTTTGATAGTATATTATCCACATATTTTCTGTTATTTTGTATCCAAGTCTTAATACTAAATCAGACTATTGATTTTTTTTAAACAGATGCATATTGAAGCTGCCAAGATGCTATCTTTCACTGAACAGGAATTTATGAAGGCACTTGAATGGGAAAATTCATAAATGATCTACTTCAATTAGTCTCTATGACTGTGTGATGGATATCCATTTTATTTGACTTAAGTTGTAATGGTTTGAATTATTTTTATTCTTCGTAAGTATTGAAGATATTTGATTATGAAATCAAAACTCTTCTGATATGTAATAATTAGAAACAGACATTTTGTAAAAGCAACAAGAATTTAATGTTTGATGCTGGTATCATACTAGCCCTTTCTTTTGAGTTTTTACAACTAAAATATTTTATGTTCTGGAGAAATTCTGTTTTTGTTTTTAAGTTCTTAATGTGACAGGTAATAAAGCACTTTGAAATTCTTCACTCTCTTTATATTATAGTAGACAGAAACAGATACTTTACAACTGAATTCTAAATAAATTTCCTAGACATAGAGGGCAGTTCACTTGGGCTAGAAGTCTGTAATCAGTCAAGGTGAACAGAAAAAGGTCTGAATAGTAGGAGTGGTATGGAGAAGTTAGCCTCTAATATATTTATATATATGGAGTATTATAATATGCTGATGTTACAGAATTCAGATTTTCAAATTATCAGTACTAAAATTATGAAATTCAGTAATGTTTTAGACAATGGAATCTACTGGCATTGAACTGTTAAACAAAAGTTATGCTGACATCTAGTGGTAACATACAAAAGATCCAGCTTTTTACCCAATCTTTGATATCACTTCTCTCCAGAAATGTCACTCCTTTTCCGATATACTTTCCTGAACTCTTCACCAAGCAGATCAATATCATCCTCTTTTTTAAATACTCCCTACAAGAAAAATATTTTTTGGTTACTTTTAAATGCCAGAATATTTCACTAAATGCTTTAAGACATGAGGTTAGTAAAGTTACCTCTAAGAAAACAAAATCTGTTGAATAGATTTATGAAAGTTTTAAATTAAAAAAAATCAATATTTTCTAAAAGTTTGATATCTAGACATAATATTCTTTGACCCAATTTCCTAATTTATCAGCTTCAGTGTAGAAACTTGTAGGAAGCTGGGCTCCTCTATTTTATTACTGCAAGTAGTAAAGTACCATTATAAATACTACTGCTTGGAGTACCTGGATGGGAAGGCATTTAATGTATATATACCCTACCCTTGTCTTAAAACAGCTCTGTAATATTACATGAGGGAGGTAAGGGGTGAAGAGACTTCACAAATGGAATTGGTTTTTTCATGCCCCAGAGTTCTATGGATAATCAGAAAACACTGAATTTTCCAGGAAAGAACCCAGGTTTATAGTTAAGCCATTTAAGCAAGCCCTTTGGAATTCTTCACCGTTCTGTTTTTTATTTTCTCCTATAGTATGCAGCATAAGGCTCTTTAAAATAAAATTAAACATTTACTTGTGATTTAAAGGATAGTTTAGGTCATTTGGGGCCATTTAGGATCTAAAGGATAAAGGTCATTTTTTAATATCAAGTACTCCTGCTGCCTCCACAATCATTTCCCTTACAAAAATATCAAATTCTAAAGAATCTCCTAGAATTTATAATCTATTTTATGAAATTTATCAATTACATAGGGAGTTTATCATTAATACATCATTTTATATTCATTAATTTTAACCAATTAGACTATAAGGTCCTGTGGCTAGGCAGTAATTAGTCATATATATGTTCTTCCTTAGCACCAGACTGAACACAAAGTATGTACTCATACCAAATTAATAAAATAATCAAGTGGCATGATTTCTATATTTGAAGGATGGTGCTTTTATCTATGTAAGTCTGGATGTCTATGTGGCCTATGAAACTCAATTCTTTCTATTTTCATACACAAGAAAATTATCTTCTGGAATTTTATAAATCAAGTTTACCTAGTACCTAATTATAGCCTCCTATAGAGCAGATCTGTCTCAGACTCAATTCAAGCATGTGCCCATTAATGTTTTCATGTATCTTCTTGTCTTTTCTATAGCAAGTATTAATATTACAGCTGCTATTGGGTAGTTTCAATGTAGTTCCTACATTGAAAGAGGAGAAAGAACCTCTAATATATAAATTCATGAAATCAAGCTCATACCTCTAATAATATGCCAAGACCAACTCCCATTTTAGAGATTTTTAAATGGGCACAGAGAGGTTGAATCCCTGGCCAAGATCCCACTGCTGCTTCATAACAGAGCAAGAAAGGAGCAAAACCTAAGCCCTCTGAAATTCAAATACCATGCTTTTTTCACTTACTTTAGGGAGATATCCTAGTAATTTTGTAGCATGCTCTTTGAGAAGTTTTAGCCTTTCTTCTTCAATAATTGCATTAATACATCCTTGTCTTTTTTGCTGCAACTGCCATTCTTCCAATTCACGTTGCTAGAAGTATAAATGAAATTTGATTACCACAAAATATATTATCCTTTAAGAAGTTTTCCAAATAAAACTATTCATGGAATTAATTAGATAAAATTGAACTATTTATGACACATATGTATATACACCTATAGTTTTTAGCCCTCATTATTCCTTTAAAATTACAAGAATAATAGTAATGATTGGGAATTTAGGGTGGCAAGCATATATTTTCAGGAAAATGTCTTCATTACCAAGGGAAAAAAGTCAAAGGAGGTGACTACCTAATAAGTTCAACAAATATTTATTGAATGCTTTCCATATACCAGATGCTGAAGTTTACAGTGTAAGACAAAAAAATTATTATAGTAAATAAAACAGAATAGGGATATATATCTAAAGGATAAATATTTTCATATACATATATTTATATTAAAGACTGGATGAAGCACAAGCATAGCAGCAAGAGTTCTTGAAGCAAAAGTGTCATCATGGCAGCTTCCAGGAAAACAATCTATGTACATCCTTTATCCCTTCTTCAACTTCTCTCTGCTGCTTGAAACATGGATATGAAGGCTAAAGATCCAACATAGGTAATAAAGAGAGGGCTATACCCTATAGATGCCACAGTGAAAAGCTAGAAGGAGCCTGAATTCCTGAAGACTACAGAACAGAGCCTCCATTCCTACCCTGAACTACCTATCTGAACTTTTACGTAAGAGAACAGTAAACTATTACACCACTGTTAAGTTGAGACTCTAAGTACAGCCAAACCTAATCCTAATTGATCTATTCCTTATAAAGGAGAGATGCAAGAAAGCTTTGTAATGTCACAGGGAAAGCACACTTATTAAATTTTTGTTCAATGATGTAGAGTCTCTAATGGGGACATAATACAGGATTTCCCTTCTTAAGATCTGGTAGACCACATTAAATGTTTCTCCTAAAAAATTTATATTAAATTGTTAAACTTATTTATCCATTTATGACAAATTCTGAATACCTCTGGTGGTAAACTATCTCCTAGAGGGTTTCAGATTTGGTGAGACCATATGGTTTTTTAAGAGGTAGGCAGAATAATAAGTTCCATCACCAAGAAGATGTATCCTTGCTTTCGGGCTAGAACAAAAGTATTGCCCAATCTTACACTTAAACCTAAGCCCACAGCTTCATACTGGCAATGTTTAGAAATTTAAAAAAATTAAGACATTAGTTATTTGTATAAGTATCTACACATTAGGTAGCTTTATCTGATTTCGATTTATAGTTATCTTGCTAACTTTTACCAGGAGCTTTCTCCCATCCAAGTACTAACCAGGACCAACTGCTTAGCTTCCAGGGGCTGTTTTATTAGCTCTGTAAGCCACAAGATAGGTAGGCAGTCACTGGCTCTACTTTTCTATAGGCAAGAAGTATTCAAACCAAGCCTTTTAACTTTGTGCCTCCTTGATTACTGTGCTCCATGTGATATGGTTGATCACCTTCATTGATTCAACAAAGTATTTACTACATGCCAGGCAAAGTGCTGCCAATTTAGAATAGCCTCCCCCTTTCTCCTTTTATTCTTATGTATTTCCAGGGAAACCACATAGTTCTGCCATAAATGTATTGCACAATTAGTAAATTGCATACTACCAAATTCTATAAATGTTTACAATGTACATTTAAGAAATGTATTCTTAGTATATCATGGAGTTTTATATATAATCCAGTCTTTTGGGTACCTATAACCCTATTTTCTGCATCACATCAGAAGCTACCAGAATAAGCTTTTGTTTTGGTTTCCTCACCAACATACAGCAGAATGTCTAGCAGGTCAGTATCTGTTGATTACAAGAACATCCTGGGAATTCTTTTTGTCCACTCATGGAGGAAAAGACTGGTATAATGATATTAATTAATTAATTCCAGCCATGCCACTATTTACTGTGAAACCTTGGGCAACATATATAATCTATGCCTCAGTTTTCACATTCTTAAAATGGGAATAGCAATAGTACCTAATTCAAAAGTTTGAAAGTTAAAAGTTGTTGCTTTGCTTATGAGATCAGAATAGTGAATGACAATGACATATATAAATGTTCAATAAATGTTATTACTACGACTTCTGTTATTCAAAAGTATTTACCATATGCCTAACTGTACTTTTCATATTTAGATCTCTTTATCTTTTAAAGTGTTTACCTATTACCTAATTTAGTTCTTAAACCACAAAAATCTTACTAAGACAGATTATGGATGAAACGTAAATAGATAAATCAGTGTGTCCAAAGTCACAAGCCTTGTTCCCACTCCAACTCTTAAATCCACATTTCCAATTAGAAATCTTCCCCAGGGCCTCAAAATCCATGTGGACAAAATGGGATTATTTATTCCCTTAAAATCTATTTTCCTTCCTACATACTGTTTCTTTAGGACTTCATCCACTCACTTAGTAAAGATGGAAATTATAGTATTATTTATTAGTAGTAGCCTTAAGTTTTCTCTCACCTCTCCAGATCTCATTGGTCCCCAATCCACATCTATTCTATATCCTTAACATCTTTCAGATCCCTTCTCCATTTGCATGGGTTTCACCACATATCACTGGTATTATTGTAGTAACTTCCTTACTGGTCTCCCTACCTCCAGTCTTACTCCTCTCACATCTACCCTCAATGCTGTTACTTGAATCATCTTTCAAAATGCTGATCTTAACATGTAGCTTTCCTAATTCTTCAGTGGCTTCCCTTGGAAAAATCCTGCTTTCTCAAAATACCACCAGGGCATTCGTAATC